TCTCGTGGTCTGTGAGTTTGAGCCCCACATTGGGCTCTGTGATGACAGCTCAGAGCCTGGAGCCTGCTTCTGATTCTGTGTCTTCCTCTTTCTCTCTGCCCCTCCCCTGCTCATGCTGTCTCTCTCTCTTTCCTCTCAAAAATAAATAAACGTTAAAAAAAAATTTTTTTTTAATTTTTTTTTTAACGTTTATTTATTTTTGAGACAGAGAGAGACAGAGCATGAATGGGGGAGGGTCAGAGAGAGAGGGAGACACAGAATCAGAAGCAGGCTCCAGGCTCCGAGCTGTCAGCACAGAGCCCGACACGGGGCTCGAACTCACGGACTGTGAGCTCATGACCTGAGCCGAAGTCGGACGCTTAACCGACTGAGCCACCCAGGCGCCCCTAAAAAAAAACTTTTTTAAAGGTAGTACTTAATTATTCCTTGCCACTCATTTAAGAGTGTAACAAAGTTCTCATTTGACTTTTTCTCATTTTGTTTCATCTTATTTGACCTTTCTGTAATACTTCTTTTTGTTAACTATCTCCTAAAGAAATTCTCCTAATTTGAGTCTATGATTCAAGAGTGTTTTCACTTTCTCTAACCAATTCTCTGGCTGGCTGGTGCTCTTCCTTTCCATAACTGCCATGTTTGCTTGTGTGGGTTGTGTACTGCACAGTTTTTGGGCATTTTCCACATTGTAATCTCTCTGTGAAAGGACCTCCTTGGAATTGTGCAATGTACAGCTTGTCTATATGCAGCAGCTCTGCTCACAACTTCAGTGCATTGATACTTCACAAATTTCCATCAGATGACCCCTCCTTTCATACCATAATAGATTCTCAAAATCAGTGGATAAGACTACGCTAATTCTGTCCCTCAGCTCAAACCCACACAAACATCCCATTCTGTATTTCTAGCCTAGAACTCTCTTCTGAATTCCAGACTTTTTCTAAATGTGGTATAGGTTTCGCCATATAAGATTCACCTACAATCTTTTTTACCCCACCTTCTCCCCTTCCCTCAACCTAATCTATATCCATGTCCTGTATTCCCTACTTCAGGTACCATCTCAGAGCCATCTTGAATTCCTCCTTCAACTTCAATCTTTTCATCTAATTAGTTAGCAGTCTTGCACATTCTACCTCCTAAATCAGATATTTTGATCTTAATACCCCTTTACATTCTTAAAAATTATTAAGGACCCAAAGAACTTCTTTTATATGGGTTAGAAATAAAAAATAAATTTTTAAATATTTATTTAAAAATAGTAATACTAAACTATTGTATCTTTACATAAGTAATATTTTTATGAAAAATAACTTTCAAAACAAAAAAAATTGTACTGAGAAGAGTGGAATTGTTTTACATTTTTGCAAATTTATTTAATATCTGACTGAATAGAGGACAACTAAATTCTATGTGCTTCTGCATTCAGTTTATTGTGATACATTGTTTGGGTTGAAGTACATAGAGAATACTGAGCCTCACACAGATAGGTAGAACAGAGAGAAATATTTCAAATAATTGCTACCACATCTGAACTCAACCAGTGGTAGTTTAATGATCAAAGTTTAATCGCAATGTGGAATCTGAAACTGAAATCTTATCAGTGAACTTTTTATACTGTTATTTTAAAAATCTATCATGTGTAGGGGCGCCTGGGTGGCTCAGTCAAGCATCTGAGGCTCAGGTGATGATGTCACAATTCATGAGATCAAGCCCTACATTTGACTCTGTGCTGACATTGTGGAGCCTGTTTAGGATTTTCTCTCTCTCTGTCTCTCTCTCTCTCTCTCTGTCCCCCTCTCCCCCCATCCCTCCCCTGCTTATGATCTCTCTCCCTCTCTCCTCTCTCCTCTCTCTCTAAATAAATACATAAACTTAAGAAATATCTATCATGTGTAACTTGATGTAGTTGGAAAATACTAATTGAGTTATGCAGACAGTCCAAATTAATGACATATTTCATTCTACAATATTTTTAAATCACATTTGTTAAAACGTTACCAATCTTACAAGTAGTGGGAAGCTGTCAAGCCTCATGGTGGCAAAGTCAAGTTTTACAAAATTCTGTTTTTTATATGATCACTTGAATGTTATCACTGGCAACAAATACTTTGTTTTCCTTGAAGTGATAGGCTCCCTTCATTTATTTTTGAGAAGATGTTCTACCATATAGCCTTTTATGTGAAAGAATGTTGCTGTGAAAAGAGTTGCTAGTTCTGCTTGAAATTCAAATAATTATGCAAGTCTTTTTCTTCATGACAACCATGTTACTTCAGTATAGAACCTTTGTGCTTTCTGCAAACTTTCCAGTTGGTCGCATAATAGTAAAAAGAAGTGTATTTAAGGGTCAAGATTTAATAAAATCAGTATTTTCTATTTTTTCAACATGGATATTCTTAAGTGAAAATAACCATTTTCTACTGCAAGGGGCAGTGAAGAATACAATGACTATAATTTGGTGCTGCTGCCTTAACTCATGCTAAGGTGTCAGCAGTTTCACCACCATTGTTTTTGTGCTATCATTGCAAATATCCACCCGTGAAAAAGGTCAAATAACACTTAAATAGCACCTTGAAGTTATTACGAAAATAGTTTTGACTTCATAGATGTACAGTCTGAAAGAATTGTGCGACCCTCTAAGGGTCCATTGAGAACCACTTCCTAAACATCCAAGACATGTTGCCCTTGCCCACTCAATAGTCTTAGCCCCATCCTTTATTAATTTTATTAATCACCTCTGGTTTCCTAAATGATCTCTCAGTCTTCTTTCTTTTTCTCATGAATTAACTATCTAAAATACAAATCTGATTGTGTAGGTACACATTCTTCCAAACTTTTAACGTGCCCAGCATAATGAAATAAAATAAATTCCTTCATAGAATATAAAAGTCTTTTATTATCATGCCTACCTTATTAACTTCTGTTCCTGTCACTACCTGCTTCCTGTTCTTTAAGCCAAACTGAATTTATTGATACTTCCCTAAGCACATCATGGTTTCTACAGTCCCATACATTTGCATGTGCTGTTCTTTCTACTGGAGGACTCTCACGTCCAGTTTCTACCTTTCCCTCCAACTCTGCACATCATTTTTAATCACTTCATTTTACTACCCACAAAATTTTATATTTTGTTATAATTTTGAAATTTGTTACAGGACTTGCACTATGTTATAGTTACTTTGCTTATGTGTCTTTTTCTCCCATTAGATTGTGAGCTATTTGAGGTCAAGAACTGTGTCTCTCCTTGTATTCCTAGTATTTACCAAGAGCAAGGCTTATAGTAGTCACTTAATAAATGTTTTGAGTGTTTCAGTGAATTTCATAGAAACTTCTAATATTATCCTTGGATAGAGTTGCTAATGAATAATAAAAAAGGGGAGAGATGGGCAGAAAAAGGAAAAAAATATATGTGCCTCAGCCACTTTATTGGATACAGTAATGAATCTTTATTTTCAAAAATTTTATTGCAAGTAAAATTTAAGAGAACATTTCAGTTTATTTCTGTGTTTCTGAAAAATTGAAGTGAATTAAAATAAAATGCAGTAAATGGATCACATTTTGAAAAATTAACTTCCTTTAATTCATTATAACTCAATCTCTAATAAACTCGGGGGTTTTTTTACTTCGCTAATTTACCATTCTTAACACGAAAGCAAAAATGCCAGGATACTTCTATATTTCTATTAATATTTAAAAACTAGTACCTTAAAATATTAAATAACATTTTAGATGTGTTCTCTCTTTTATGTTAAAACTTGGCTGATTGTCTTTTATGTTTTTAACTTAAGCACGGTAAAATAGTATCTTGTAAGATCTTCTGTCAGAAAGGCTTCTAAATAGAAGTCTCACTTAATGTAATCTACCTATATACAACCTGTATCAACAAAAAGAAGCACCTTTAAAATAAGAAAAAAATCTTTACCAAGATTTCATAATATACAAAACCTCAAAAGATAAATAAAATTTTTGTGTGTAAGACATTTTTTTGCCCAAAATTTATTCTCCAAAATATGTTGCAAGTATATAGATTAGGTGAAATCCAAATCACCTAAAATTTATAGACTTCAAACAGATTCTGTAGATATACTTTCCTGCCCATTGACCATTTCATTGTTCATTAGCACCTAAGTAAAGGAAATAAAATAATTTTTTAAAACTACTCACTTTGGACCTCACTAATTTAGAATTTATGATGACTGAGATGCTGAACTGAAAGTTAGCTTTTTACAGCTCATAGACTAGATGTTACCTCATAAAATAAAATTATTAACAAAATTACAAGGGAAATTAAATCTTTAAGAAAGTAATCATTCCTATGTAATGGATTTGTGATTATAAGTTATGCCTTTAAAGCATATTGGTTGATTAAAAGCCATTAGTAATTGAGATTTCTCCAAAAAGATTCTGAATTAATGAGGTGTGTAATATATAGTCAGATGTATGTCCTTTCAGTTTTTGCAGAGATAACTTTGGCCAAAAATTACTTCTTGGGATTTAGTTTTGAATTATTTTATGCTATTCTGTCCCTATTGCCTTAGATGTTAAAGAATTGTTAAATTCTCAGATATCTGTATCATTGTTGTGTATAATTAGAATGCCATGGTACCCACTGGGACCCAAATTGGATTGCTTTTATGTGCTTCCTTTAAAAAACTGATATTTTAGTTCTGCTCATTTAATGAAATTATTGATTGTAAAATATTAAAAATGGTTACTTGAACTCAGAAATGGGTGTACTGAGTCAATAGATATATAGGAATAATAAATATCAAGTTGTATATTTAATTTGGTAAATTTCTTTTGAAAATAGTTCCCTTTTGTACCATTATTTTTTATATGAAAGAGTACGTAGGAAATAGAAAAACAAAGGATATACAGTGATTTTGCTCATGAATCTGTTTTCCAGCATTCATTTACTACATACATTGTCATCTGTCTTTTCTTTATTTCATAATTAATTTCAAAATTCAGCATTTTTTATCTAATTTAACATTTTCATATTTTTAAAGGTCCCCAGGTGCATCCAATTTTTCAGCTTTACCAAAGATCTCTCCTTCATCTCTGTCAAATAATTATAACAACATCAACAACAGAAAGTAAGCACTGAATCTTAAAAACTCTTTGTTTAATCGATCGCCCTATTGTGGTTGCAAAAAATCTCTTGTATCTAAAATTTAGGATAAAGTCTTAATGCATTAAAATTGATTTTTTTTAAAATTACAGATCACTTCTTCTAGGAGTAACTTTACAAGAAAGAAAGCAGTTATAAACTTCTTTAATACATACACTATAGTAATTCACAAAAAGAGAAATAAAGTACTTTCAGAATTTTACATTTTAAACGCTAATTATTGAAATTTATATAGAAGTCTGTTAGAACTCGATTTTTTAGGAAGAGTGTAAATTTCAGATGTCACCGACCTACAATATGTAGTATTTTTTAAAAGCGTGTATCAGTGATTCTCACCTGGAAAGCATACACAGATTTTCACGTTCATCAACAGGCAATCACTTTTTCTTTAAAAAGTTTAGAGAAACAATTCCTTTGCCCCATCATGAATAATATTCACAATCTTGGAATTTGTAAGAGTTGCGTGAAAGTGTGTGTTGTATGGCCATAAGAAAAAAGGTTAAAAATCACTTGGACTGCACTATAACATCTGACATGAGTGTATTACCTTGAAAACTGGCTTGGTTTCTGTTTTCTAGAAAAGGATAAAAAGAAACCTTTTATTGTTTGTGACTCAGTCAAATTAGGGGAAAACCTTTAATCTAGACAATTTTATCCTTGTTTTATTTTTTGAATATATACATTACATTGTCGTTTATTTTTTAGGTTGACTGTATTTATGTAGTTAAATATTTGCATTGTTTGGCCAGTTCATAAAGGGCATGTGGTTTCCCAAAGAATTAATTTGAAAAGAATAAGGCTATTTGTGAAATAATATTTAAAATAACATCATTAAATGAATTTATAGGTTAAATTCATTTGACCTTAAAATTCATATTTAAGGTGGGGAGAGGGCTTGACAAAAAGATTTTAATGTACATCTAGATTATAAATGTGTAAAGAATACCCAAAGTAATTTTGGAAAGGAAAATGAGAAAGGATTAACCCTACTGAATAATGACAACCTGTTATAAAGATATAAGGTTTCAAGCAGCATAGTAGTGACCCAAGAATAACATCTACAAATCAATGAAATAGAAAAGACAGTCCAGAAACAGCCCTTTATACATAAAAGAATTTAATGTGATCAGAAAACATTGTAGACTAATGGGGAATGGGCAGATTATCCAGGAAATGTTGTTTGGAAAATTGGATCACGATTGAGAATTTCTTTGTAAAACTTTATATTAAATTGACTTAAATTGTTAGGCATATAAAAAATGAAAGGCAAATAAATGGCAAAAATACTTGCTACAAATAGCAGAGGATAAATATTCTTAATATATCAAAGCTGTAAAGATCAGTGAGAAATTTTCTAAGATAAGTAGAAAACTGGGCAATGATGCAGCTGGCAATAAAAGGAAAATAATTAAAATATATAAACATTTAGAGGTGCCTGGGTGGCGCTCAGTTGGTTGAGCGTCCGATTTGAGCTCAGTTCGTCTCACTGCTGGTGAGTTCGAGCCCCACATCCGGCTCTGTGCTGACAGCTCAGAAGAGCCTAGAGCCTGCTTCAGATTCTGTGTCTCCCTCTCTCTCTGCCCATCCCCTGCTCATTCTCATTCATTCTCTCCCTCTCTCTCTCTGTCTCAAAAATCAATAGACATTAAATAAGATAAAGTAAAATGTATAAACATTTAAATATTCAAATTCACAGCTGACTAGAAATGTGCAAATTAAAACCATAAAAAACTCCATCCACTTCTTTCCATCTCAGTCTCACTGGGAAACATTAAGTAATTATACTTATTCTTGCAAGGAGTGGTTGGAGTATCAAGATTTAAAACATTCATCCCCTTTAGTAGTTTATAAAAAGACACGTACCATAGTGTAATAATATTACATTGTATTGTAATAGTGAAATATCAAAGACTCTATGAATATCCAGTATTGCAGTTTAGTATGCTCTTTTCTGTTTAAAATTGTATGTCCACAGGCAAAAAAGTGAAAGGGAATACCCTTATAATCTGGTTTGTATTATTTTATATGGTATATTTTAATTAAATTCATCAAAGTAATTTTTTCATAGGAGATAAAGTACTTCTTGTATTTCTACCAATTGGAGATGCTCACACATTTACTGTAAAAGAAGCAGTTCCAGGTATAATGTGTTTATAGTTATTCTTTGGAGAGACTTTTAACATTGTATGTAGACTGTATTGAGCATAGACTGTATTTTGACCTTTTGACTGGAGTCGTCTTATTAGTATATGTGGTCTGGTGAGTCTCTGTTTTTGTCTTATCTCCCTCCTGTAGTAAAAATATGATGTTACAATCGGATCTTAAAACCTCTAACTGCAGAAGATACTGAGAGGAATTGGAGGATTTTCTTAAGTTTAAAATATGATTAATGATTCTCCTCCCATGGATAGATTATATTTTTAGGTATTTATAGTTGTTTAATTTAGACACTAAAATAGTCCTTCATATTAGGAAATTTTTATAGCAAATAGCTAATGAGTTACCACCACGCTTAAAAGTCAAGTTTACTTTTCTTAGGTGGAACAAAATTTATAAAATGGAAAAAAATGTTTTACATTAATTTGACTTAGTATTTTGATTATTTTAAATTAATATTTGAATTTAAATTAATATCGTCCTAATTATCTAAATTATTTCACATAAGATTTCTTTCCATTCAGCTTGTAGAAATAAGTAGTGGCTTAAGGCTTCATATGGAAATAGCATGCTTCATTTAATTAAAAGTATGTAAAAAGGCTAATGACATTTTTTAGATAAATTGCATTTTTGAAACTTCAGGTATGTGGAGATATTCTACAAGAACAAAAAGTATGTGTGAAAATCAGTAGTTATGACTTACAAGTTTATATGAAGCTATCTACAGTTTCAAGATTTGAATTAAATGGATACATTACTAAGATAAAATTTTAACTACCAGAAATAAGGATACTGGTCATAAAGATAGTAACAAAGTATACTTGGAACTATTTCATATAAATTTAATAAAGCTTTTACTAAAGACTAGTATTATGAAGAATCAGTTCACCCTGATGTAGTAATTTTGCCTGATCGTACATACAGTATTTGGTTGTGCCTCGATTATAATTTAAGTACATTTTTAATATGCACCAGTTTCTTGCTGTTCACTGCATTTTTCTGTCTTGCTGCATTTGCCTTGATAGAATACTGCCTTTAAAAAAATCTTTTTAATGTGTGTGTTGTCCCAACTCGTGGCATTCCACATCAGAACACATTTCTATTTTTATGTTAATTCATTTAAAGCTCTTTTATTTGAAATGGAAATGACTCCCTGTAAGAGATTAAACTGTGAAAAAGAACTTGATTTTGGAGACTGCCAGAGCTAGCCAGCCATATGGCTCTTTACAAGTTACTTCTGGAAAGCATCATTCATTAACTGCAAAATAGGTATCATTGTACTTATGAGGATTAAATTATAGATTTTTAATGCTCATAATGTCAAGTGTAAATGCTAATTGAAAAGTCAGTCTTAAATTTGTATAGATCTCACTTTTACCAAAAAACAACTTACTTTTTTCAGTGTCTTCATTTAGGGTGATAAATTTATAATACAGAATTTATATAGTATAGTAAGTACTAAAATTCCCATTAAGATTACAGGCATATTTATTTTTGCAAAATAGCATAGCCTTAGAGGATAAGGATTAGTTTACAATCTCTAGGAAAAAAAATAGTCATGAAAGATAACAGAGGCTATCTTTAGGCCTAGGTTTCCAGGACTTTGTTGAAGTGTTTAAGAACTGCTAGTTTTGGTATTTTCCATGACTTTAATATTTGATTCACAAAGCACATAACATGTGGATTATAACTGGCCACTCTATATAATGTTAACATATTTTAAATTTATCACTTTTCATTACTATCATTGAGCATCTAGACTGTTTCAGTTTTTGAGCAAGAATTATACTTATCCTGTCACTTAGTCTAAAATGTAGATATCCTTTAAGGATTCAAATTTTAAATGACAAAACAAAAGGGGTGCCTGGGTGGCTCAGTGGTTAAGCATCCGACTTCAGCTCAGGTCATGATCCCCTGGTTTGTGGGTTCAAGCCCGGCATCGGGCTCTGTGCTGACAGCTCAGAGCCTGGAGCCTGCTTTGGATTCTGTGTCTCCCTCTCTCTCTCTCTCTCTCTCTCTCTGCCCCTCTCCTTCTCACACTCTGTCTCTCTCTCGCTCTCTCAGAAGTAAACGTTAAAAAAAATTTTTTTTAAGACAAAACCAAAAAATTGTTCTGCAAGTAAGTTTTTTGTTCATTTCTCAGTAAATAAAAATCCCTATCCTAGCAAATTCCATCCTGTTGCCACTACGAAGAGAAGAGCTTCCAGCATCCATTCAGGTTACTTGTGGGCAGAGATAGATATCTGAATATATACTTAAGGAAGATGTATGTAAATGTGTTTTTAGTCTTTTCGTGTGTGTGTGTGTGTGTGTGTGTGTGTGTGTGTGTGTGTGTGTGTGTGTGTGTGTGTGTGTGTGTGTGTGTGTGTGTGTGTGTGTGTGTGTGTGTGTGTGTGTGTGTGTGTGTGTGTGTGTGTGTGTGTGTGTGTGTATGCGCGCACGCACGCCTAAGCATGAGCATGCATTTGAGCATACTTTCCCTATATACTCTGCTCAAATTCTATTATAGTTTTATATCTGGAACATGTAGAATGTATAGAAAATATAGGCCTTTCATTTTTGTATGTAGAGACCTTGATTTTTAGCACTACTTATAGGACTAACAGAAAAACAGAATTTAGCTTTTTGTTACATGTCCTTGAAGAAGTTAGATTTGATAATCCAATCACCAGTTACTGACTGAAGAATTGCTAATAGGTGTCTTGTACTTTATTAGTTATTGGGCATATAAAATATGAATCATAAGGCTAGTGATCTGACAAAACCAAAAGATGCTTGTTTTTTGTTTTATACTTTTTTTTAGTTTAAAACAAGTAAATATAGTTATAAGTCTAGAAATTCTGAATTTGAATTAATCAAGTTTTCATTTCTTTGGGCCCTATTTTTTTTTTTTTTTTAATCTTAGGATATATTGCTTTTTTGAGTCTTGGAGTTGGTCTTTTTATTTGGTGGGGGGGGGATATGCTCTTAAAAATGCAAAAGTATTTGTTGGTTAGCATCGTATGTCTAGTTTTTGGTTGAGGTACTTTTGTTTAAACTGTTTAGCTTGTTGGGGTGTGTGTGTGTGTGTGTGTGTGTGTCTTTACTAAAGGGTTTGTTAAAACAGGTAGTAGTATAGTTCACTTAAAGTGTTATAATAGAAAAGTGAGAATATAGAAGCTACAATAGAAAGTATTTGAAATCTTAAGTAAAAATTATTTTTAAAAAAGAATACCAGGAATAAAGTGTAGCCAATTGGGATTGTCAGGTTTACTGATTCATCATGTTTGTTTGTAACACTGTATTCTTTTATTTGAATCATCATTTGCTTTTAGCAATGACCTTGATTGATTCTCATTCAGGTTTGTTCTAATGAATAAAAAAAATTATGGTTGAAAGTATGCTTTTGAATAATAATCTAAAGTGTCCATTGTAAATATTTTATAAAATAACCTATTAAAAATTAAGGAAGAATCCATCCTTTTCCACAGAATTATTTTTTATTACATGTAAAAAGAAAGAGGACAATTTAACTTATCGATTGACTTTCCTTAGTTCTTTCTAAAATTACCCTGGTTCCCTAACGTTGAAGATGACTTTGGCTCTTTGTTTTTAAGATTAATATTTATTCTACTGATAGTCCAAATTATCCTAAGGTTATATTCATCTAGTTGAATAAACTACATTATTCTAACAAGCCAGAAGAAAGAAAAGGCAAATAATACTGGAATGTTCTTGCGTAGAATCATTTCATTTTGCAGCCTTGATCAGCCCAGGCTTTTTTCTGCATTTGAATACTAGATTTTGCTGGTCTAGCATAGAAACTATAAATAGAATCTTCAGTGCATCAGACCAGTGATGTCACAGAGGCCTTGGAAATCTCTTCTCTCACCTGTAACTAAAGCACAACTCCTGTTTCTACTGTTCTCATTCAATTACAGTAACAGGATGTAAAAGGGACATAAATGAGATGATTTATTGCTGTGGGTGGTGTTTAAAATCTGAATGTTTTAAATTTGATGGCGCAATGAAGAATGGAGCAAGCTGTGGAGCTGCTCCGGCTAATCAAGGGTAGAAAGATATAACAGTGGTTTGTATTGGTTGGTGTGGCATAGTGTGCAGTGATTTTGTTGATGGGATGTATCTTGATTAGAGGGGTTCTTTTGATTTAGATTCATATCTTTAAAAGTACCTGAGTTAATTTTTTTTATAAAGAATTTAATGACTGACCACCTATCTCAAGTTTAAAGTACTGTGTTCATATAACTATATTATAATCAGCTGCATTATGAAAAATATTCTTTGTTTTCTTCCAGTGTGAAAAATTCAAATTATTGTCTCCCATCATATACTGCTTATAAGAACTATGATTATTCAGAACCTGGCAGAAACAATGAACAGCCAGGCCTCTGCGGCCTAAGTAACTTGGGAAATACGTGTTTCATGAACTCAGCTATTCAGGTAGGTCCTTTCCAAAGTGAAACTCATGTGTTTCATGGAAATCAGCAATAAAAGAAGAGTAGACTTTTACATATCAAAACATAAGTATTATATATGTTTTGAAAGTTTCTGTTTTCATGGAAGATTTAAGCATGTATATTTGATTCACTCATTCTAGTACTAGTATCATTATCATGTTCCTCAATTAGGTGGCATATGACTGATTACCACATGGTGGAAGATTAACTATCACTTCATGCAAAAATATAATTTCAAACAGAAAACCTAGACTCCTAAAATAAAAGAAAGAAAGAAAAACACCACATGAGATCTCTCCTTTACATATTCAGTAGAAATTTCATGCGTTTTTTGGACATCTGTGGGAATGTTAGAGAATGAATCTTTTATGGTCACCAGTCCTCTAACTCTAAATAAATTTATTTTTAAATCTTTTTTTTAAACTTAATATGAAATTAAGATTTTTTTTAATGAGAAAATTCTATGAACCTCCTTTTGCGTACATATTTTAACAAATCACTTTCCCTTAAAGATCTTTTAATTTGGGGATATAATTGATCACTGCCCCTTTTTTCCCTTTGTCTCTCCATGGAACTCCCCTTTTCTTCCTGCTCTGTCTATATCCTCTTCCAACTTGTTAAATATTTATGTCTTTGATCGACTTTGAAGTAATGACAATAATCTATATATTTTTTAATATCTCACTGTTTATAAAATTAGAGCTGGTTGTTTCATTCCCCTTTGATAGAATTCTGTATTTCAAAAAGCCCAAAATAATGGTATACTATTTTTGATATTTCAATTTTAACCTTTTTTTTTTCTTTTGGTCCTTTGTTTTGGGGTGTTTTTTGTTTTTGTTTTGCAAATTCTGAAATTTTATTTTTAAATATGAATTTTTTGTTCTCTATTCATATTTTAGTAGTAAATCTCCTATGCCCACGTGTCATCCTACAAAGATATAGATTACATATAGAGTATGAATTAATTAAGAACATTATTAAATTCTTTTTCACTAAGAATAGTATACGACTCTTAACCACCCAAATTTCTAAATAAATCCTTTTGTACTTTGGCATTAATCAATTTGTCTCCTAAATTAACCATTGCCTTTGCAGCATTCTTGGAAAATTAGAACTTAATTGTCATAATTCTCTAGATCAGGAATTGGAAATCTTTTAGAAATGCATAGGGGACATAAATATGCTAAATTTCTGATTTCTTGGTTTAGAGTTGAGCCACTCAGGAAATAGCCTTTCTGTTCAAGCATATACTGTGTAAGGTTAATAAACTCTTCCTAAACCCTCTTTGATGAGTAATATTACTTATACTTTAATGTGAATTTTTTTATTCAAAATTATTTTTCTGAGATCCTAGCAATTTTTTAAAACATTTACCTTTATTTTTCTGGGAGAGAAGAATGGGAACATCATCTGAGAACAAGTCAAAACATATTATTATCCTGACAGCTATTTAGATAAAGTGTGTGGGTGCTGAGCTTGCAGAGACAGGAACAGGCCAGACAGGTTCTCATTTTATTTGGGTATCTGTTGGACTACTCTACCTGACCTCTGAACATCATCTTTAATACCATCTCTGGAAAATGTTTTATATACATGGTGGTTTCATCAGTACCAGAAAACCCTGTTCTTGTGTCACCGGGTCATAATTTTTGTATAACTCCTATCCTTGCACTGCCAAAATTATTTTGGTTCTAGGCACTTGATGAAAACTTGAAAATTTTTTTTGTTTTCTTTTTAATCTAGTGTAGAAAACCAATCCTGATGCTTTCTCATAAGGATTAAGAAAATAATTTTAACACTATAGGCACTAAAAAATTTGAGTCTCTCAGAAGAGAACGAGTTCATGTTCATGCTAATCATTCAGAGAAAGCTCTGGCTTTCATTCAAACTGAGTTCCTTTGAAGGGATTATTACATTCTAATTACCTCTGCCTTTGATATAGTCTTTAGTGTTTTGTTTCCAGATGGTTATAATTTCTCAAAAATGAGTATTAAAATTAAATCTTCTAATCACTTATGTTGAACTAGATTTGGCATTTGTTGAACTTTCTTGTATATGTTTAAGGTATCAGAAACTTCTATTAGTTTTTGCCTCACTTTAAAGCAGTGTTATTACAATAAGTTGGTAAGTCTATTGCTGACTGTCTCTTAATGTTATATCGCCTTCACATGTTTCATTTCAGTTGAAATTAGATTCATGAGGGTGAGGTTTGTTAGGGTGATAGTTACTTTCTTGTACTAGTCATAAAATAAGAAAACTTTTGATGAAAACTTAAGGGATTTAAAATCTTTAAGCAGTGGATATTATTTCATGTCTGTGTCTTGGCTGGAAATTGTATTTTCTCTAAAATAAAAATCTCTACATCAGTTTGGGTAAGAGAAAAAGATGAGTTTTTATTTTTGCTACTTTTGACTTTTAATCTAAATCCACAGTTAGAAAAGCTAGTACTAGTTTCATTTTCTTAAAGCTTTTGTGATTTTTGATGGGTTAGCTGTCCACTCTCAACCTGAAAACTCACCATTAAAGGGAATACAAAATGTTGGTAGCCTTTATCCCTGTTTCATGAACACATATGTAAGTTGTTAGGTCTACAGATGAAAGGGGTAAAAGATAACTAATAGAGTAGATTTTTTTAAATATTTTTTTTAGATACTATTTCCTCAATTATCCTTTTTTTCCAGTTTTCTTGTAATACCTGTGAAGTTGAAGACAATTCATGAGCTTCAGAAATACTCCAATATTTCTCCTGATAATTTGAATTTCAGTGTAACTTCTTATATTTACCAATCCTAAAAAATGCATAGACATTTTAGTATCTCAGGCAGTATAATTACGGATATATTTTAAAAAATGTGAGTGGAAAGCGTACCTTTTTTTTTTTCTATGTGAGAATGGATTATGCTTATTAAGCTATCAGTAGCCTTGAGGTAATGAAATCTTTTGGTTTCTTATTAAAAACTAAGTGGCACCAATCTTATTATGAATTTAGTATTATTAGTGTTATTTAATTATATTGGTATTCAAGATTTTGTCTGATGTAATGGTATGAATGAATATTAAATTTTTTTGATGAGAGTAGTACTGCCATATAGTTCTAATTTCTTAAGTTAATATTTATTGAATATCAAACATGTGAGATACTTTTGGACATAAATCCTGACCTCATGAAGATTATAGTCTAGATAATTTGATTTTCACACTTTCTGTATTTCATTATGAAAATCTTTTTTTTTTTAATTATTACTATGAAAAGTTTAATTCTATCCTCTTTTTAAACAGATGCAGTGAAGTTGTTTTGGGTAAAGGATGTGGAGTCCCATCTGCTTTCTCTTACTTTCTTTTCTTAATGGCCCCAGAAGCATTTTCATGGGATTCTAAGACTCTAAGGAACAGTCTAAAAACTATATTATAGCAAGAAAAAAAGAAAGGAACACATTAAAAACTAATAATATAGATTAGGAGCACAGACTATAGAGTTACACTGTCTGGATTGAAAATATGTCTCTCCTATTTATTAGCTGTGTTGCCCTGTTTACATTATTTCCACAACTCATTTTTCTCATGAGGAAAATAATAGTACCTGTATCTTAGGAATTTCATGAGGATTAAATGAGTTGAATATAAAGCTCTTAGAATAGTGACTGGCACATCATAAATGAGTAGGCATTATGTTAATATTTTATCTTCTTTTTTCTTTCTTTCTTTCAATAAGCAGAGTGACTCTGGAAAAAAGTCTACCTTCAATAACCCCTGTATTTATTCCCCTTTCCTACAAGTCTTATTCCACTTGGGTTGAACCTAGTGAATGAAGAAAGAATTAATTATATTTTTAAATTATTTTTCACTCAGTATTATTGTAATAATGGTATTTATCATCTGCTCCATTTCTGAACTGTGTTTAACTCTCCCTACACAAACTGATAGGCAAGGAATATAATAATGAAGAACTCTTTGTGCATATTTAGTCTTCAGAGAGCTCAAAATTCTTGAGATCAGGTTATCCCTGGCCTCAGCCTCCTCAGTAGTTATGATTGTAGGCATATACCACCATGTCCCAGTGGTACAAATAAGTTAGCAAAATAGTTTTCTAATGTCCTAAATCTTTGAGAGAATGTTTAGTTATAAAAGCTTGCATTATTGGAGGTAATTTTAATTAGCATCAGTTGAGTAGATTCAGGAGCACTCCAACCCTTGTCTTTTTCATTGTCAAGGCCTAGGAAGCTCATGATTGGCTTCCTGGAAGAAGCAACTCTTCAGATGGATTTGAAGCAGGGAAGTGATATGGTCTTTTCCACTGGAAGGCAGCATGGCATAAGATGATTGTTTTCAAACTCTTTACTTGGAAGTAATAGGGCTCCTTACTGTAGGAAGTCATTGAAAAAAAAATAATCGAGGGTCTGTTCTGTCATATAGTGTAAAATCAGTTGTGATTCCAAGCATTTTTAAAGTCAACTTTTTTATTATTATTATTATCTGTTGGATTAGGAAAAAATCTATTCAATAAATTCAGAAGAATGTTAAATAGAAAGCTTAAAGTTTATTTTTCAAATAAACAGAATGAGTAATACACAGAAATAACTTTTTTTTAAGAAACTAAAATCCTTTAATACCGTGAAACAGTGGAAAAGATATTACTGAAGGTATTATTTTTGTGTTGTAGTACTTTATAGCTTTGCATATGATGAAGTATAATGCTGTTCTTCTCTCACCCTGAGACCTTCTTTTTGCATTAATTGGAACACCAATTCTTAGAAGCCCGGTTTAACATGAAGCTAATTTTGTTTAGCCAAATTTATAGTTAAATAAATGAAATGGTTTTCATCAAAAAAAGAATCATTTAACCCCTGAGACATAAGAATTTAAAAAAAAACAGTTGAGGATCTTGAGGAAATGGCTTCTTCTAATAAACAGAGAATATAGCTAAAAATTCAAACATTTCTTCATAGGGAAGATTTTTAAAAAATGATAAATGGCATACAATAT